GATTAGATGACCTGGAGAGAGGAGATCAGCTACTTGACCATTTCAGGCCAATACAGGCATGTTTCTGCCTTTCTGATTCCCAGATCACCTGCTTTTTCACCACCATTCTCTTGGTCTCTCTGAAAGAATAGAGCTCAGCCTGGTATGTAAAATATATTCCAGACACAGTGGTGTGTAAGTGCAAAGAGACATGGATTTCTCTCAGGAAGAGATAAAGTGGATTTGCCCAATTGTGAAGGTGCACAAGAGTACTAGACCTGTTTTCTCCTTTTACTTTATCATGGTCTCATGTGTTTAAGCACAATATTATGTCTGTGTGTGAATCTTCATGATCCCATTCACTTCCCAGTGCTTAGTTTTTATTTATCAAGAGAAAGAGTGCAAATGTTCACAATCAGATCCTGCCCCATTCCAAGATTACTGCCATGATAATTGCATATTTTCCTGCCAACTGGTGACATTTAGCAAAGATTCCAAAGCTGGAGCAGCCAACCAGACACTTTCCTTCACACAGCCAAGGAATGTCTAATCAGATCACCATCATTCACATGTGAGTTAGAACAAATGCAATAGAGCTAAAATAGGGATTGACAATCTGGGTACAAAACATTCAATCATTTAAAATTTCTCCTGACTGAATGGGTGGATCATGAACCAGTTTGGTGCAGTGGTTAAAATACCAGGCTAGTGTAGAAAGTTAGTGCCCCACCCCTCTCCTAGAAGAATGAAATATTCTAGGAAATATTAAAAATGCAGACTATTTCCCCTAAAAAAGAAATAAAAAATCTTAAAAGAAACAGAAATAGAAGATTCCACCTCCCTGCCCCCAGCAGATATTTTGGTGCAGTCTATCTACAAATCAAAAGACCTCAGTTTCAGGATGATGGGATTATCCTTCAGGGCAAAGCCATTCAGCCACAATAGGAAATTGCCCTTTATTGCACATCACCCAGCAAGATTCAACCAAGCCTGAATACACAGCTACAACTGCATAGCCCCATGGGAGTCTGACAGCAACCAATAGGATAAGTTCAAATGCTCAAAGCCCAAGAGAGGGTATAAATCTCTCTCTCTCTTCATGTTGTTAGCTACCCAGGACTTCAAACCCATGTGGTCCTGGTTCACCATTAAACCATCCTTCCAAGCAGTCTCCATGTTTCCCGTGTCTTTCTTCCCACTTGAAACTGAACCCAGATGGACATTTCTTCCAACACTAGAAAATGGAAGACGGTGAATTCAAGTCCCTCCTTATGCATGAAGCCAGCTGGATAACTTTGGGACACCCCTATGACAAAGGAAAATCACTTCTGGAAAAACCTTGTCCAAGCAATTGCCAGGAGTCAATGTGTACTGACTTTAAGGTACCAAAAAAAAGTGTGTGTGTGTGTTTGGTAAGATTCATCTTCTCAAATCAAAGTGCCAGATTAGATATTAAAAACAGAAAAAAAGTGTAATTCTCCAAGAAGGAATTCCAGTCTTCATGTCATGGATTGAGTAGGTTATTGAGGTATGTGCAATACAAGCTAAACCTCCAGGAATAATCAGGGCCAGTCAACTGGTTGTGTGGCTTTTCTCATCCTTGAAACCACCTCTCTCTCTTGAATGAAAATTCTGAATCAAGGAAGACCCACAAATTACATTGGGGTGCAACCTATCCAGAACAAGGCATTTACCCAGTTTCCAGAGAGGTCCTTATTCCCAGCACTTCCTCTGGATAGGAGAATCAACTGCAGTTAATTGGCCTCATCCAAACCATTGTTGCCTCCAAGGTTGTTCCACAAAACACAACACAGTTTCCACCTCCCAGGTACTAAACCAGGCATATGAAAGCAGATGGTGATTTCCGTTATTTTTAGCCAGCCATGAAAAAAAGTTTCAACCAGAGAATTTTTGTGAAGATGAGTGGCCAGCTTCTCCACTAGGATCCAATGATGATTCAGTTGATGATGCCATTGAAACTGACCAGAAAGGCGCCAATTCTACGTACATCTGGAAGCCTTACTTTTGGCTCTATAGTGTCCCTAGAGGATTGTCCATGCACAAATCCACATATTCCCTGCATATGGATGTAGAGCATTGTAACTTTCTAGCCTCTTCAACCTGTCCTCAGCTTGCGACCCAAACATCCGATTCTTCGTGGTTTCACCGCAGATTTTAACTCTTTTGAGACGCGCCTTTGGGTTGGGGCTCGGGGAGTGCACCCCCCGGGGACGAGGAGCCTGCTGTTTTCGCCCTCTTTCCCCCCCACAGCAGCTCCTCCGGCGGACAGACGGGAGGACACAATAGCCGCAGAGAAGGAGAAGCGGGGGCAAGAGGGAGACTCCTCCTTCTGGCCCGCCTCGCTTTGCCTCAGCCGGGTAGCAACGCCGCACGATTCAGCCCACCTTCCCCCTCCTAGCTTCCCCCGGCGCGCCCCGTCCAGTTTGCTTTCCAACCGGGCAGAGGAGAAGCTTAGACCGCTCGTGCGCCGCCGCCGCGCCCGCCCCATGCCCGGCTCTCCCCCCAGCGGCGACCGCTAGCCGTCCATGGCGCGGCCCGGGATGCTGCTCTGCTGCTGCGCCGCGGCGCTGCTGGCGGCGTGGTGGGGCACCGCCAACGCCAGCCTGAGCTCGCCTCCGACCGGCGCCCCGCTGGAGGACGAGGCGGAGAACCAGGAGAACATTCTCTCGCAGGTAAGGCTTGCTTGGAAGCCGTCGGAGCTTGGAAGGGGGAGTCGGACCCTCGAGGTGATTTTCCAGCGGCGCATCAGGAACGATGGGGAGTGGACTGCAGGAGTCCCAAAAGTGCTCTTGAAGTGTACAGATTTATTCCTCACCCTGGCTTCTCTCATGGCACCAAAAAAACAAAAACCCAAACCCACCACTAGAAATGCCTCTGAACATGTGCAAAAAGTCCTTCACAACTAATTAAAGTTGTGTACATTTGCAACTGCGGGAGGGAAATCTATCCTGGAATGGTCTTACCAATAAACTTGGATTGCATGGAGGGGGAGGTTTATGCTGTAGAGGGCAATTTGACACAGCACAGAGTGTGGCACAGTTAGGGAACCCAGTTAAGTCTTCAACATAAGTTTGATTTTATGGGATGATTTTAGAAGCAGTGAAGAACAGAGCAAGGAATCTACAGGTAGGTTTCCAAATAAAGACAGCTTTGTCACTTAAAAGAATATTTGAACTTAGTAGGACTTGCTAAAAGGCTATGCCTAAAATTGTTGGCTGGGTTTATGTCTTGAATATATTGTATTAAATCAACCCTTCTTAAGTTCATTTCAGGAAAGCTGGGTCCTTGCACTCAGTAACAAGTACAAGGGTTTCCATTGTGTAGAATCAGCAAGCTTTGCATTATAGTGTTATACTCCACCTGTACAGAATTTGCTTTGTCCTCACCTGGTACCTGTTAGACCCAGGGGTGGTGATCAGTGCAGAAAAAGGACAAGCAGCTGTAGTTTTAGTGCATGGAGAAGCAAACAAATGGAAAAGGTGCATCTGCTAAAATCTCTCTCTGTGTGTTCTTTGTGAACTATGAAATACACAGAGGTAGCACACTTATGAATTTGACTACTCCAGGTATCTGGGACAAAAGTCTTTCTGAAGTAGATCTCTGGCCTCTCCATTTAGTAGACCAGGTTTGGGATTATTGCTTTGCTGCTCCTTTCTAAAAGCAACAAGCCCCTTCCCCCTCTGCCCCCAACATATTACTTATTTCCTAGTCAACTAATTGAACAGAACTGAGTATATCCATATAGAATAGTGCTGTGAGAGCAGTGCTATCTGTCAATTCCTCTGGTACTTAGAGCCTGCAGCAGCTTTCACTCTGCTCCTCTTGGTTTTCCTTTGTAGCTAAAGCCAGCTAAAAGAGAAAAGTGCTGCAAATGGCAACATTTGTACAGTCTGTGGTGGCTGGGCCTCCTCCTTGTCATGAGCAAAATTAGTTGCATGCATTTAAGTAATTGTGCAATATAAATTGAAATTGTGTTAGGTTTGATGCTGAGCAAAAAATCTTAAAACGGCCTTGGCACAATATCTGTCTGGATGGTGGAGGCCAATATCCCTTGAAAAATATCTGCAAGAATTCTGTGCAATCAGAAAAACATACGTTTGACTACTTTTATTATCCAAAGTTGTATCTGATTCAGGCATATTCCCTTAAAGGAAATTCTTTGAATTGCATTTAATGTTTGTTGAAACCTTGTGTTGGCTAGGCAGGATGTGCCAGTCTGCTTCACAACTTTTGTCTTGTTCTTGAATCCAACCAGAAAAATGTCCTATTTATGTAGGACTAGCATTACACATTGGAAACTTCCTATCAGATGTATCCTGATAGCTTTGGCTTTTTAAAAATCATATCTTCAACGTTTTTCTGAGGGAAACTCTTTTTTAAATATACCTAAGTTGGGGTAGCCTGTCTTCCCAGCATGATTTTATGTACAGGATGCATGAAAATAAAGGAGAGATGCAAAGATCTCATGTGGAGCTCCTCTGTTCACTTCAATGAAATGTGTACAGGAGAATTTCCCAACAGATTGTTCCCATTATATTTAAATGAGATCATTCTGGAGAATGTCTGTGTTGAGCACAGCAGCCTTTTAATTTCCCCAAACCCAAGAGAAACCAAAGTTGTTTGGGTTCAAGTTGACTAGTTTGGGGTTTGGCTTTTGGATTCTTTTAGGTGGTAGAAGAAAATTACTTTCTCAGATAACCAAGGAGCAACGAACATGAAGCGTCAGCAACATTTTAAGCCAGGCAGCCATTTCTTCAAGGTTTCAGAATGTCAGAGTTTCTCCCAAACATTCGGCCAAAGCAAACCCACTGAGAATTTCAGGACAAATTGACTGGCTTCCTTTCCCTCCCCTTCCCCTCCTTTCCTTGATTAGTTGCTAGGTGACTATGACAAGGTGAAGGCGGTGTCCCAAGGCTCAAACTGCCAGTGCAAGTGCGTGGTGAGACCCTTGGGCAGAGGAGCATGTCAGAGGATCAACGAAGGCTCTTTCAAAGCTGAGGATTTTTACATGGTGGAAACAATTACTTCTGGACCAGAATGCAAGTGCTCCTGTGTGGCTCCACCTTCTGCTCTCAATCCCTGCGAAGGGGACTTCAGGCTGAAGAAATTGCAGGAAGCAGACAACAAGGACTTCAAGGTATTTGCCTTTCCTGAATTTTTACATAGTTAAAATGTATTTTTATTATTTCAGTTGATGCCACACCTTTCTACCCAAAGGGCAGTCATGAAAGTTTTCCTCTCCCAAGTAATGGGAAAATTAAGGCAGGTTTTAACAGGAGTTTCATCTGGAGATTTGGTGTTTCTTTGCAGTACTTGCAGATGTACAAGGCTGAGATACCAGGGGACAGTTATCCTCAATTTATGACTACAGTTGAGCCCAACATTTCTTTTGTTAAGTGATATGGTTAAGTGAATTGCTCCATTTTACCACCTTTCTTGCCACAGTTGTGAATCACTACAGTTATTAGGTTAATAATCTGGCTTCCCCATTGACTTTGCTTGTCAGAAGGTTGCAAAAGGTAATCACATGATCCTGGTGCACTGCAACGATCACATACTAGTCAGTTGCCAAGTGTCTGAATTTTGATCACGTGATCATGGGAATGCTGCAACATTGTACACGTTATAAACGTCATAAATCATTTTTTCAGTCATTTTTTCAGTGCTGTTGTAATTTCAGATAGTCACTAAATGAAGTTGCAAATGGGGGATGCTTCCCCTGTTCACAGTCCAAATACTAAGTTGTGATCTGGTTTGTATGTTAAGCCATGGTTCAGAAATGTAAATTGCCATGTTATAAAAACCAAGGGTGATTCAGTTCAGAGAGCACATGTCAAGACCAAACAGACCACATAATATGCTCAATGAGGTGTGGGAGCCCCAGTATGTCTATTCATGCAATCTTAGCAGGACAGGGAATACCTGGAAGGAAGAAGCCAATGGCACTTAAGTCCATTTATGCTTATAATATAGCTATTACTAGCCATTAAAACAACAACATAATCTGTTAAATATAATATGAGATGCACACCATCATAATGTCAAGTTAATTTTATAAACCGTGAACTGTGAAACAGTAAGATCAGGTTAACTAAAATGGCAACTGCAGTATTTCATCTTGGCTTGGTTGTCCAGCAGGTGAGAAATTCATTTGCTCCTAGAACAGCTTTCTCCAACCTGTTCTTTCAGCTGTTGGACTGCAGCTTCATAATCGCAGCCAGCTCATTCCTTAGCGTCAAGGGACCAAACGTTGCGAGTGGGCTTAGCAAATACTTCTGTATGAGGCTCTTTAAACACACTCCAAAGTTTACTGCTAGGAAGATTGCATCGAGCAGGAAGTGAACAGACTCTTGGCCTTCTCTGTCTGCTGGGAACAGGAAGAGCAACAGTCTTAATAAATATGTAGCTCTGAATTCTCCCACATGCACTAGGATGGAGACCTAACAGATATATGCTACATAATGGCACAGAAAGATACTCCAGTCATGAATGTTTTACCATTGTTGAATAGGCAAGGAAAGATTCCATTATGGAACAATCTTATTTGTTACAAAAATGTGCATTATTGGGTGTTTAGCACTCAGTTTAAGTAGAAATGTGGTAGACGGCAGGGATAGATTTAACATTGATCTAGAGAAGAGGGAGGGAAAGTGTCATTCCCTGGAAACTGTCCATTGACTGGTTGCCAGAATAGATATTTCCCCATCTGCTCCTTTTCTACCATTGTTGCTTGTTTTTCTCCCTTGCTTCTCAGGCCATTCTTGCCAGTGATGGCTTGAATTATGGCTTGCAGAGGGTTTCTGACATTAGTCCTAAGGCTGCAGATTCAGAAATCTCTGGTTAAATCAGTGTCCTTGGCTTAAGCAGTTCAATAAATCTAGTGCAAATTGGGAGGTATAAAATGGAATATAAATGCAAACACAGATGGGAATGTGGAGTTTGTACTCCCTCTTTCAAGTCTTCAGGCTGGTTCCTGTAAATGACCTAAAACTAAAAGTTCAAATTAGCATTAAAAGGGGGGAATCCCAGAATTTCAAACATTTTTTTGAGATGCAAACTTTAAAGTATCAGGACATCAGAAGATGTTCTTTAGCATCCAATTCTCAAGCTTTAAAGATAATGGCTACCATTTTAAACTGGATGTAATTATTTTATGCCTTGGTGAAACATTAGTTTGAGGGTCAAGATTCAAATCTATCCAAAAATAAAAGGGGGCAGATAGATCAAAACCAACTCTCAGAATCTGCTAATTGGATTGAGCTTCATTTCTTAATCCTCATTACTGGTCATAAACATTAATATTATCCCTTCCAATGCCAACCCTTGACTGAATCAGTTGAAACTGAGAAATGGAGCTGGGTATCATCAGCTTATTGATCACATTTCATATTATCAGAAAGAAAAAAATTAATGAAAAAATCAAAACCCTGAAAAGCCCTCTAGCTCAAAAATCAGTCTAGTAGCACTTCTTTCTGGAATTAGCCATCCAACAGGAAGAAAAACTTGAGCACAGTGCCTCCAATCCACAGCCAAGAGCAGATGGTCCAGAAGGATACCATGGACAATAGCAGTAAAAGTGGCTGAGAAATCCAGCAGAATTAGCAGAGTGTTACTCCCTGTAATTTCTGCTTGCAAAAATCATCTGTCAGAGTGATCATGGCAGCTTCAATATCACAATTGAATAAGTACTGCCATTTTAAGACATGGCCCTCCAAAGGTAAACAAAAGAGAATTATTTTCAAACTGCACAAACTTATTTTTGAGGAAAGGACAAGAGAGATGGGCACACTGCAAACAAGTAAGTAAGTAAGGGGCTTTATTCTAAGAACTGCTATAACATATTACCCCCTTTCCCAATCTGAATTCACGCTGGGGAGCAGAATTCCTGGCCAACATGGCCTGAGAATGTGCTGAATGAGAATACCTGTAGTCCAAAATACCCTGGACATGGCAGATCAAAAAGGATGGTATATTAAACTGAGATATGAATCCCAGTGTTTATGACAATTATCCTGATTTTTTCTAAAGAAAATCAGGATGATATATGTAGTTATCTTTCCCTAATTTATTTGCACCCAAAAAGTAGAATTTAAACTGGATCTCTCAGTAGAATTTACACTGGATCTCTCTGTTTGCAGTTCAACATTGCAACCATTCCAGTACATTGGCTCTCATAAGATCTTAAATTGAAGTGCCATCCAAAGATAAGTCAAGATTTTATGTCCTCTTTCCATAATCAAGTGTGGAGCGTTCTTATATCTGAGCTAAATTATTATTTAAATATATGTATATATAAATATTGGGTTTTGAATTATCCAAGATATATTATTAATGAATATGAATTATGTACTGATCAGTTCTGTGTGAATATGCTTCTCTCTGTCTAAACATTTTATACTTCTTGGCTGCAAAAGGTTTCACCATGGGTTAAGCTCAGTTTACATTATACTGGATTTCCTCATCACAAATTTATATCACTTTTATATTTTGCACTTCTTGTGGGAAATTATCCACTGAAGGAGATCATGTACGTGGCAGTGTGTGATTGATGCAGCAGGTCTGTGATGAACGACAAGGGGTAAGGGAAGAAAATAATCTTTCTGGAAAAAAAATCAGAATGCATTTTTAATATACCCTGCCTTTCTCAGCTGGAAATAAAATCTGATTTTAAAAAAGAACTGGCCAAGCAACATCCCAACATTCTTCTTTCTAATCTTGATGTACAAAATCACATTTATATTAGCATGTTTTTCCCAACAGCTATAAACTTGGAAATATTACAAGTCCAAGAATTGTGTTACTGGATCACATCAGTGGAACCTATTGAATTGCTATTGGCATTAGGAGGCAACAGCCCCATTTAGAGATATCTAAAGCACAGCATAAAAGCAGTGGCAGTCCCTTGAGCTGTTATTTTCCACATCTGGTACAGATTCTGAAAACGGAGGGTTCGTTTAATGTTCTGCTTTATTTGGTTTGCAGTCCAGTTGTTATCACCTTGGGACCGGATCCTCCAGGTGACTGCTTAAATTTACTTGGATTATCCTGTTAGGGAAAAGAAAGCCTGTTCTACAAGGCTGAGCCAAAAATGCAGGCAGCAACCAGCTTCACGTACTTGTTCTGGCAATGTTGTATTGTTTTATTTTCTGCTTACAAGTGTTTAGCTGTCCAAAACGTAACTGGAGATCATTGTTACAGTTTCTCGAGCAACGTTGTCCTTGAAGGGCATGACGAAATCTGAGCCATCAGCCCTTCCAAATGTGAGCAGCCTCAAATAAACTGTAATCCGTTTAACAATTTGACCAGCTAACATCTGTTTCAACAGAGTAACCAGGTGACATGGGACAATATTCCATTTCTGAAAGAGTCACTAGAAGAACATTATGAAAACCTACTGCAACATCCTTTCCCTATTTTACCATTCTGTTGGCAAATGATATAAATTCCCCAAACTTTGGGTGACTCTAATTATTTGTAGTTTCTTTAAGGCATAACTGTACGGTTATGCCTTTCCCTATAGCAATGATCTGTTAATGCAAAAATAATTTATTTCATACTTACTCCACCTATTTTTAAACTTTTTTCCTCATTTGTCAGTTGTATATTCCTCGGAAATAGCCTCTTTAGAACTAAAAATATAAACATTTGGAAGGATGGTTTTCTCTTGATTAAAGCAATGTTAAGCTGTCCCCTGTGTATTATATGGACTGAGGCCAGTACTTGCTGGATCCCAGGTTTGAGAATAAGTCTCCCATTGATCCTAGATGTTCTTCTTCCCATTTTCCAATGGAATAAATGTCTCTTGGTAGCAAAAGAAACAGAATCATACTTTGCATCTTAGAACCTTCTTAATGGGTCACCACTGCAGAGAATCCGGGCAAGTCAAGGTTGACTCAGCGTTCCATCCTTTCTAAGGTAGGTAAAATGAGGACCCAGTTTGTGGGGGCAATAAGCTGACTTTGTATAAATATACAAAAGTATGAAGGCTATTGCTTAACGCACCGTAAGCCGCCCTGAGTCTCCGGAGAAGGGCGGCATATAAATCAAATTAAAAAAAAGTCCTCCACACCAGATAGAAGAGGCAAATGGCAGACTTGCATTTTGCTTTCTCCATCTGTGCTTATGGTGGTGGGTAATCTTTGGACTTCTGATCTTGAGAGAAGTTAACTGTGTTTCAATTCATGTGCTAAGAAACCCTTGCTTACCTGCTATAGAAACTTTATTTCTAAGGCAGTTTCTAATTTCAAAACTGGTGGTCCTACCCTATCCTGGCTTCAGAGTCTATACAGTTAACGACAAAACAGACCACTGTTCACAGAGAAAAGACTTCTCAAAAGAAAACGGGAATCACCCTGTTCTATAGGACACTTAGAGGCATTGACCAAAAGATGGACCTCATGATTACTTGTATGAAAAGAAAGCAAACTCTGGAAGGTTTAGATCAATTCAAAGGAAGATTGGCAATAGTAGCTGCCTTTTAGGTTGCCAGTGCAGTATTTTGGCTTTTGGGAACCTGGAACAGAATTTGGAAATCTCTTCTTTAGAAAGCCAGTTATGGACACATGCTGTTAGATGCATTATAATCAGCCTCATTCAGCAACACATTCTTTCTTTCCTGTGTTTGTAGAAGTCCAGTTAGTTTTAAATACATTACTTGGAACATTGTTTGATTTAAATGAAAAGCATCTGTCAAAAATACTGGCTCCTTACATAACACGTTTAGAACTGGAATACAATCATTGAGAGCCCCCCCCTTTTTTTTTTAAACTGGGTAGTAGGTTGCATTGACAACCAAGAAAAGAAATTGAGTTTAAGAACATCGGAGTTTGGAGTGTTGAAGAGTACCAGTTTCTTCCTATTTGTTCTGGGAATTTAAAATGAATAAGTGTACTTGTTGCTTCAAATGCTAGTCTAGCTTTGCTGACCAGTTCTCCTCCTAATCCTTAGAACTATGTGAAACAAAAGGCATTTTGTTCAAGCAATTTGATTGCACTAAGCTGTTGTTGTCATAGTAGACCAGGCGATTGTACAGACTAAGTAAAAAGCTGCAGCAGCAGTATTGTTTCTTTTGCAAGTGTTCAAAGGAATACATTTATAATGTAAGACTATTACACTTTCATGTTATGGATGATTGAGAGGGTCACAACTGTTCTATACACACCAGAAGAACAGCATGCTGGAGAATCTGTGCTGGGATAGCAGCTTGTTACATCCTGCAGTGACTTGTGAAATCAGCATGTATTATTTGAAATTATATAATTAAATTTCCACTTTGTCCAAAAACATTTCAGGGTGACAATGGAGATGCTTTGGTTTTATGGTACCACATATGGCATCGTGATTATCCTGAACTATGAATAAGGTTGTTCTTGATTTGAATCTTCCACTGATAATAGTGATTTGTCTTCCCCTGGTAATATAATAAAGCATGAAAACTGGTGGTTTGTGTGTGTGGAAGTAGTATTATTATCATTCTGTGCACAGAACATGTGTTTTGAATTCAGAATTAGGAGATAGACCAAAAAGGTTCACAGTGACTTTTCTTTCAGATTTTTTTTAAAAATCTGCCTTCTAACCTTTCCTTCTCATAAGCTCTGCGTTTCTGTTTTTTCACCTACCTTTTGCTGATCCTACCAATTTTATCCACTGTTCAAGTCCCAGGGAGAGGCCTTTCCTGGTCAAGATTCAGCAATGACTGAATCTGAAGCCTCTGTGTGCATATGGAGCAGGTACTCTGCCATATTGCTATGAGCTTTTCCTAAACTACTTTGTGCTCCTTAAAAATACCACTTCACTTCTTTCTGCCATTATCCCTTTATCGACTGTACATATCCCACTGCTTCCTGCCTTTCCAGTAGTGAGCAGTCTAGGTCATTGAAAGGTGAGGTTTGTTTATTGTTAAGAATAAGGTGATGGGTCTGTAATTTCTTCACACAGCGTAATTCACACATATGCTTCTTTTGATGGTGGAATGATGACAAGGGTTTCTCTATTCTACCAGTTTGGGCAGGTATCTCCCTTCAAATCCTGGTTCCCAAGTTGTTTATAGAGGTTTGAATCTGGCACATTCAATCATGGCTAGAAAAGAAAAGGCAACCAAAGCAGCTGTTTCAGGTGCAATATTACATAGGCCACAAAAGCTGGCAACTTTTTTTTTGTTCAGCTGTAATTTTCAAATTGCCTCCTTTAATTTTCAATAGGCCAATTCAAAAGACTCCTTAAAGAGGGTTATGCAAACATCCTTGGCTCTAGAACTCAAGCTGAGGACTCTCAGAACTAGGCCATTCAGGATGTGTTTCTGCCAAACCCAGTTCAAAGCAATTTATCATCAACGCTTCTCAATGTCATTTAATATCTTTATTATTATTAATTTGTCTAGCTTAAAGAAGAAATTGGTGGAGGTGGCAAAGAAGAGCTTGTTCTTCTTTTAATATAATGTTTTCCAGCTGTTGTGTAAACTACATGTGCATAAAAGAGCCTCTTATTGTACTCCAAATATTGTTGGAACGCACAAAAAGTTACTGTGCAATATTTTCTGATTTTGAAAATTTAAATTGTCATAACTGGATCATATCTGCATTGAAAAGAGAACAATCAATTATAAGTCTTGAAAATTAATGTATGAATTATGTACAAACCCAAGAATTTTAGAATAAACTAGATTAATCAAAACTAATTAAATATCTGGAAAAAAAGATGCATATATGCTCTACCAGATCAGAAATGTGAGATGGAAGGAGAGAGCCATGGAAATGGCCCTGAAGGGGTTATTCAGAAACCATCATAGAAGCAACAAGGGCAGAACCATTTGTTGAACCCTGGCAGAGGAGTTAATACTAGGAAGGAGCTCAGACTGGCTCCTCTTTGACTCAGAAGGTTATAAAAAGGGGGAAGGATAAAATACTTTACCTTTCAGATTTGCAAGATTCTATATATGTCAATAATTTATAGTTCTAGTCTTCCTATGGAGTCAGTTTCTTGATCTGGTCTCTCTCTCACATAGGGTGATCAAGTAGATCAAGTATTTATTTAAAAAAACCAAAATCACAGAAACGTACTCCTCTCTATTTTTATAAGTGTATAAAACCATGTGTGCAAAGGTGCCATATGGGTTGGGAAGGGTTTGCAAGAGATGCTGTGCAGGTTAGGGAGGGCATGCGGAGATGTGTGAAGGGTCCCACACAGGTCAGGGAAGGTATATGGGGTTGCAGTGTGGGTCAAGAAGGGTGTGTGGGGATGTGCAAAAGGTGCCATGTGGGTTAGGGAAGGCATTCAGGGTTGCAATATGGTCAGGAAAGGAGTATGCGAGAGGTGCGGCACAGATCAGGCAGGGTGCACTGGGAAGCATGAGTATCTGGCACAGTGCAAGTGAAGAAGGGCTGAGGAAGTTGCATGGGTGGAGAAGACTTACCTAAGCAATTTGCGACCCTTCCCCATTGCCAATGCTCCCTGTCATCTTCCACAAGCAAAGACTTTGCTTATGGAAAATTGGCAGGGAGCTTTGGAAAGGACGATCGTGTGACCATGACTGACTGTGGCAGTGAAGCAGTAGCAGCAGAGTGGTGCTGTGGTAGATAATGGATAGAAATATTCTATGTGAAAAGCAAGAAATGTAATTTTTATGTTATGGATCATATTACTCTTAAAGACATTGAAATAAATAATATTGTTTCTTTACTGGTGTTTAGTATACCAGTTGCTTAGATCCTCAGATCCGCTGCAGTGGGTTAGATTAAGTTATGATTACTTGTCCTGTGACTGTCATACTTGAGCTATTACATTTACTGCTTTCATCAAAACTGTATGCAAAGTGTGCTAATTAATGGAAAGCAAATCTAAAGTTTATAACTGTTACATCATCACAGCATTACTATCTGTTTTACAGCTTGCAGCTGTCATTGAGATGCTAGAAAATGCTTTCTATGGTTTAGACTTGCTAAAACTGCATTCTGTTACAACGAAACTTGTGGGTCGTGTGGAGAAACTGGAAGAGGTAAGAAGAATTCCATCTCCTTTGGGGATTATCTTAACCAGGGGTGAAATCCAGCAGGTTCTGACAGGTTCTGGAGAACAGGTAGCAGAAATTTTGAGCAGTTTGGAGAACTGGCAAATACCACCTCTGGCTGGCCCCAGAGTGGGGTGGGAATGGAGATTTTGCAGTATCCTTCCCCTGGAGAGGGGTGGGAATGGAGATTTTGCAATATCCTTACCCTGCCGTGCCCACCAAGCCACACCTACCAAGCCACATCATACCCACCAAACCATGCCCACAGAACCGGTAGTATAAAAATTTGGATTTCACCACTGATCTTAACCCTCTCTTTACGGCTGATATGCAGAAATCAAACAAGTTTACAGCCCCATTCCAGAAAAAACTTCCTCTGACTTATTATCTACATTGTGGACTGAAAAAAATGATATGCTGTATGTAAGTTTATGCTGAGTTGGAGAATTATATAGGTTAACATGTTGAGAATCAAAGCTATTAGTAATAGAAACTACTGAAGTCACTATATTTCATAGCCAAAATATGGAATGTGATCAAGTCAAGGTTGACCATTTAAAAGTTCTTCAGTGTGAGAATTTAAACAGGTGACATCTCTGAAAACTGCTAGGTTTTTTAAATATCAGAGTCTCTGGAAATAATTCAGGTGAAGTTTTGCTGACCGCATGGTTATTAAAAGCATATTTGACAACTCAATAAATATGAAACGACTGTTTTTTCACTAAGTAAAAACCATACTGTTAATAACAGGCTTAATAATGGGAAACAATTTCAAATTTGACATTTAATTCTAATTTTACACCTTCTCATATCTTGGAGTGAGAATCTAAAAAAAAAAAAGAAGCACTAGAGGTCTGTAGGGCAGTTGGATGGTGACAAGACTGCATTTTAAAGAGGGCAGTTTGGTCTTATTTTTCCTCTTTGAGAGGATTTACCTTTTACAAAAAAAAGTGACCAGGTATGTATATGTTATGTGAGCTTTACTATATGTCTTCTTTCATAATGAAAATGGGTGGGAAATGATTGACTGCTACTTGTCAGTGGTGCAATCATAGATGGATAGCAGGACATAAGAAAATGCATGTTTTTTTTCCATGCTGGCTGTGCGCACACCTGCCTTTTAATTTATTTTGTCTTTAATTATAGCTTTATTTGGACCTACTATGAGAACTAGGTAGCCTTTTAATATTTGGCATCTTTTGATGATTTGAATCATCTGGTTGAATTGAATTTTGGACACATTACGCAGCAATTGCCTGCAGAAAATATATGGATATAAGTTAAGATGTGAGCATAATGGAATCTCAATCCAATCTGTTATGGTGGAAATTGGCCTTGAACTTTTTTGCCAGCCTTCCCCAGTCTGGTATCCACCAGATGTGTTGGACCAAGTCTCACAATTCACAGTCAGAGGTAATGGTTCATTTATCTAGAGGGCACCTGATTGGCAATGCTGTAGTATTCAGGTTAGAAATACATGTGCCCAATTTAGATGGGAGCATATGTGTTTTTCCATAGATGTCTGATCTGATCACAGTGACTCATATCTTAACATACACCTGGGTTATTGTAATGTGCACTGTGCACAATTTGCTTTGAAAAGTATCTGGAAATTTACAATTGGTGCAGAATGTAGCAGCCAGATTGTTAACTGGAAATGTCTTTGAGGATCATGTTACTCCATTATTAAAATAACTCCACTGACATACATTCCATCTCTCAGTTTAATTCAAAGTGTCTATGCCCCTTAAAGCCCAAAGCCACTGGAAAATTGCTGGCTTCCATATGAGCCTGCCTAGTTATTATGATCTTCCAGGGAAGTACTTATGGCTTTTTAGCTAATTTCTGTGCTGAGTAAGTCTGAAGAATAGCTGACTGTGATATTCTCTCTCTAACTATGTTTATCTGGTCCCTGTCTGGATGGCTTGTGAGTCCTATATGAACAGAATCCTGCTTAAATCCAGCCTTGGAGCTATTATGCTGCCTTTCACTGCTTAAAAATATTTTGCCAATTTTCGTGTCACTGATAATGGTTGATTTTTAATTTGAACTTTAATATTTTATTTTTTTAACTGTCATATTTATATTTGCTCTTGCTGCTAGCTACAGGCCAGACTCCTGGGAAAAAAATGATGGCAAGAATAGGAGATGATTTAGGTAGACCCACAGTCTGACTCTGTAAAACTCAGTTCCAACTTGATGGGCAGCTTTTGTAAGCTCATAGCCTCATAAAATTGAATTGCAACCTGGAGCTTTAGCATAGGAACAACATGCTGAATTGCAGCAACACGCCCAGAATAGTGAATGGTCCATCACAGGAAGCCTTCAAAAAGGTTTGAACAGCTATTTGTCCAGAATACAATAAGATGTCCTGCCTCGGGCAGGAGGTTGGTCTAGAAGACCTCCAAGAACCCTTCCAGCCCTATGATTCTATAAACTGTTAATAGTAAACTAAATGTAAATTTTACATAGTTTAAGTATTATTGTAAGAGTGAAATTTTTGTTCCTAAAAGTGATGCTTACTGCAAATTGCACTTTTTGGGCTAAAAGGAGCCAGAGACAGCATGACTTCCAAAAGAAAACAGTTTTTGGAGTCCTGTCTGGGTTGGAAGCAGAATTTAAGGTGAGTCTCCTTGGGCACTGTTTTCCTCTTCAAAAGAAAAGTGGCTTGTATATGTTTATTTTTTAAAAATCACAGCAACAACATAAGATAGATTGTTTCATAGTTTAGTTGTTACAATAAGGAAGACCAGTATTCCTGTCTTACACTGCAGCTGGAGTTGAAGATATATACTAGTGTCCCCTGAAGAGCTTGGAGTTTAAAGAACAGGCCAGATTTCAAGGAGAGAATCGCTTGTTTCTCAGGTGTCCATCCCCGTCCCCCCTGTTCTCTTAAGAGTTAATTTTTCACAGTAGGATGGCTGATGTGGATTATCTGCATTTTTCCCCCACATCTAAAAGTAATTGTGCTGTTGCCTTCCATTAGAATTGGAACTGCAGCCTTTCAGAGAGGCCATTTCATCCTATCGACTATAAAATATCCATCTCCACGTGACAAAATAGAAAACACACACACTGTCTTTCTTGATAAAGTATTGCTGTTGTTTGTTAAAATGCCACAAGGGTCCTTGATTATTTTAAGGCCACAATCAAGTTTTTGCAGTTTGTAGTAGGAGGGGGTAGACATTTAGTTATATACAATATAATGGGGTGTGTTTGAGCCTTCAGGTAATTCCACATAGTCATTGGGTTTACACCTTTTAGTAGCAAACTTAACAGGACTTTTTTTAATGTTGGGTAAATGAACCCATGGCTGAATTCCACCATCCCATGTTGCCAGCCAACTGGCCAAGGGAAGGGGGCAAAAATGACAACCACCCCCCAGCCTGTCCAAATGTAAGAACTTCAGTTGGCCACTAGAGATGGGCCATGGGAAATCTCAGAAGGAGTTAATTAACGTGGGAGATCCTGCCAATAGGAAATTACCACCTACCCTGCAGCTCCAGGGGAAGTGCTGCAAAGTTGTTTGTGCTGTGTTTCCTTTGTAGCAGGAGATGCGCCAATAGTTAATTAGCTTGGCTTCCTAGTCCCCAAGACATAGTGAGAACATGTGTTGAAAGATTTTAGGCAGTTATTGCATGCTGAATTTAGGAAGCAACAGCATGCAGGGATGCTTCAGTTGTCAGGAATGCTATGCCACATTCTGGCATTGGATTGTTTGACCCATGGCAAGAATTAAATGAACTGTTGATAGATCTGGTGTCCTTTTAGAAATAGAGCTTGAGTCCTCTTGGAAATAATAGATGATTATGTGCCATTTACTGCCAGACTGGGCAGGTCTAAGCGTATATTGTACTGAATTGCTGTTGTTACAATTTGAGCAGAAGGAAGATAATATATTAGCAGGTGTTGTTGAATGGAACTGAACTGGTCCTGCTTCATTTCAGTGATACTCACCAGCTTCCCTAAATTTAATACCTTTGTGTATTTTTAAAACACTAAAGGGAAAGTGATTACATGCCTCCTTTTTCTGGCTATTGACTGAACTGGGCTCTTTCCCCCTGTTTCTGGAAATTCAAGGCAATTGACCATTGAAGGCAGAAGGAAAACTCAGAAACAAGAGGATCTTTGGTATTACATTGCCTCCCTGCCCAACACGAATTATAAAGTATTGAATGTATTCCAGATATAAATGATGTTTACTTTCTCATTTTGAAACATATTCTAGAAAACATCTAGAAACCTCACCAAAGACAATAAACAGAAGAGACAGAATGCAGAAGAAAGTTTTCAGGAGGTGGATATTGATAGCACAATTAATTCTTCCAACAACCATGCTGACAGCCAGAGTTCATTGCAGAGGGATGCTGCAGCAGTTTACACACTCACAGAGGTAAGGCACACAATTCAATCAGATTTCTATTCCACCCCCTCTGAACATTAGAAATATCCCTTACAAATAAAGTCAGAATTCTGTTGCCCTCGTTTTAAAATCTACAGTTCTGTGAGGAGCCCACTTAGTCCAATTACAGGCAATTTTTTAAAAGGGAGAAACTTAAGCAATGGGTAACTGGATTCTGCACTTTTGAACCCACCCTTTGGGTTTCTGTAGGTGGATGATACCTTTGTGATTTAGAGTTAGAGTGCGAAAGAACACAATGAATTTCTAGACCATCTAAATAATATCCCCTCTAATATTCAGTTTACTATGGAGATTGGACAATATAGCCAACTTGTATTTTTGAACGTTTTGACCAGTCAAGAAAAAGTAAGGCTTATGGTATTTCGAAAGACAATGAAAACACATTTCTATCTACATAAAAATTCTAACCATCAGTCCTGCCAAAAGACAAGCATAGTAAAAAATGTTGGTGCCTCTGCCAGACGTATCCGTGAGCTGGCAGATTATCAGATGAGTTGAGCCATCTTGCTAATGCTTACAGGATAATGGATATTCTTCCAGGGGAATCAGGCAAGCCATGTGCTCCGACAATAAAAATAACATTGAATAAGGACAACCCACTCCCACTGGGAAATGTCTTTTTTCTTTACTCTGAGAATGTTACAGATCAAACTGGTAAATCATTAAAAAGCATAACTTTTTAAATAACCAATTATAAACCAACAAAAAAGTCCAAAAAATTATTTCAATCACCTCAGGAAAGTAGCGGTCCAGTCCCGTCATTAGTTTATTTTATCCCCTGAAATTTTTGTCAGGTTTATCTTGGATCCACAAAATGTATTAATAATACCCAATTAAAATAACATGAAAGGATTGCTGATTAGAACAGCTTAACAAATCAGGATGTGCACTGCTACATAAAGGACATAAAATCCAGTTTAAAGCCATACACAGGTATTAGTAACCACAATGCTTATATATGGTTGCATGGAAAAGCCATTGAGATTCACAAATATTCTAACAACTTTAACAAGAAGGAAGAGAGTCTAATGGTCAATCAACCAAGCCTGGATTGTGGCTTTATAGTTTACACTGTACCAATACAAACAATCTTTAATTAACCACCAACAAAGGGAATTTGCAGCAGCCTCACCCAGAGAAACACATAGCTATAGTTTGTCTCAAAATCAGGCTAATCAAGAATCAGTTTCCTTTCAGATTTCTTCACAAAAGGGAATTTGAAAAATCACCTAGTTAAAGAATCAGTCTAGAATAACCTTTCTCTGATTCCCATGAAATAATCCAAGGAGACAGTAGTTTGGACGAAAGATCAAACAGCAGAATTCTAATACCCAGCAGGTCACTTAGCTTTTGAAGATGTTGACCACAGATTCTGTCAGATTATCAGAAAATTAGACCAGAGCCACTTAGTCCCCAAACCCTCTGACTTATTTATTTATGATTTCAGACCTATGAAACACAAATAGAAAATTTAAAATACAGAAAAGGCAAACCTAAAAAAATAATATTGAAAAGAGGATACCAACAAACCTTCATATTTTTAGGACATGTATGACATTGACAAGCTGCTTTTGCCCAGGAGGAGAATAAAATGTGTGCACCATTTTAAACTGATAAAAGTAATTTCTAATACTGATGCCATGTGGTTGTTAAAGCAACCTGCAACTGGCAAGTCAGAAGGATCAGCAACAAATTGTACCCCATTCTTGCTTTAATTGGATTTCATTTTATTTAACCTTATCTAATCAATGTCTATGTCTTTATTGATTTCTAGAGAAAAGAGAAATAAATCATTCACATTAATCCGTTGGTACAGCTCTGATTTCCCTGACATATATGATACACAGTAATCTAAAATGTGATTGAAATACTTTTCTCATTTTTCAGCATATTTAAAAGACTGTTCACAAGAGACTTATGAATGGGAATGGAAAAGGTGGATAGAATATGTTCAGAACAAATACCAAACTAGAAAGTATCAAATAGCTTTTATTTGAAAATAATGTATTAGAAATATTTTAATGTAAAGAGACAAAGAGGAAAAATTATACAGGGGGAGGGATGGGTTCAAGCTTATATATCAGTGTCATTAGTTATGAGTACATAATAGGGAAGTCTGGGGGGGGAGGGTTAGGGAGGGTTAGGGAGGATGGGAAGTTTGGGGAGGGGGGGTGAAAAAAGGGGTGAAAATGTAATTGTAAAACTTTTGCAATAAAAAAAAAAAGAAATACTTTTCTCATTAAATGCATATAGAGGAAAGTGCAGGAGAATCTAGCCTTAGGAATAGTTTGACTGGATTACTGCAACAGTGTTGTTAAAGAGTTCTGAGAAACTGCAGGTGGTGAATAATACTAGACTTTTTACTTTGGTGTAATACCACTTGCCTTACTATATTTCTAGGACTAATTGGTATTGACAGATATCTAAAAGCATCCTTTTTAATGTGGTCATAAATTGCTTCAGAAATCCCCGTATGTCAAACCATTAGAAAATTTGCTTGGTGGAAATGCCAAACAGGCTGTCTTCATGTTCCTTCCAAAGAGAAGTTAGATTAAACCTATTTCTGATGGCTTTTAGGCAATTTGGGTTGCCACTGAAAGAGGATAATGGATGGAAAGGGCTTTTGGAGATTTTCCAATTCATGGATGTGTCCCCTCAGCTAAGTTTAATAAAGTTATAGTTTAACAATTTTGGTTTCTTAAAGGAAAAATATGGAGATGTTTTCCTACATGATGAAAAGGCTTCTCGGCATATAAACTCTGCTGAGTCGTTGCATTATGCCCTTCCAGCTACAGGGGCAATGAATCCAAAGGCAGTTTCACCAAGAAAACTTCACGTGAGGAGCAGGCCTCCCACCCAGCAGAACATTGTCCGAGAAATCACCTACTATAAGGCCAAAGATGCTGAAACAGAAAATGACCTTGAAGAACGTGAGTTAATGTTTTTTTTTAAAAAAAGTCATAATTGTTATAATTTTGGAAACTGTACTTTAATAAAATTCTGTTAGATGGTTTTTACTAATTCTTAAATTATTTTAACTTGATATTACTGATACATTTTTTAAAAAATAAAATATTTAAAAACTTTTTTGATAGGAACACAAAAGTGTTCAAGACTGATAAGAAAAGTTTTGTGCATGAGCCAAGGAATGGGCCTGAAAATACCATATGGCTTGAAAATTATATTCTTAGAAACAGTTTTACTGAACAAATGAACACATGTAAATGAGTCTCAGTGTGGACTTTTGAAATCAATGTGCCTTCACTTCCTAGGTTGTGATCTCAGACTTATTCAATTCTGGATGCAGTATAGATTATATTATATGGTATGAATTGTGCTGCTAGGATTTCTGTCACATGAGGCAATTTAGAGCCTGGGATTTAGAGATTAACCTTTCCATTTGGTCAATTATCCAAGTTAGAGGGTGAGAGAATGTATGGTGTGCATAAGTGTTTGTCTTCCTTCCCTGACGTGAATCATTTGCTGTTGAACATATGGTGCTTTCTACGCTACAAAGTCCTTTTTTCGGAGCATTTGCTCTCTGTCACTGTCACTCTGTGGACTAGACTGCATACAACTTGGAGCAAGCAGGTGTTTCTGCTTCATAACTGGGAGTTGGATTATGTGGCTTCCACATTTCACCCCAGATCCTATTTTGGCTTTATCTACTTATGCCTCTATATTTTAAATGCAATTCAGAATTCAGAGAATTAAGCACATACTCATACATGACCCAACTCAGTTGCAGGTTTTTAAATATATCCTGAAGCAGATTTTGCAATCAATTATCTATGCAATAATTCCCCTGCTGTGTTAGTGGACATGTGTTTGTCTACTAAACAAAGCTGGAAGGCTGCCAATCAGCTGTTGAAGAAGGAAAGCTGGATCCTGCTTCTTTACTTCCTCTTCTCTGCCAAGCAACTGATCCGAAAGATGACATTTGATTTTACTAGCTCACATATGTTCATTCCTCCAGTCTTGATTTAATTAGTATTACAAACACCTCTCCGAGGGAGCGGGTAAAATGCCTCTTTGTATAAAGGTGACAGTTCCAACACCTGTCGTATGAAATTTGTATGGAATGTTTCAAAGATGGGCAATTACAGACCAGTTTTTAACCTTTCATCTTTTGAAAAAGGAAATCGTGATGTTGGTGGCTTCTCCAAAAGTCCTGGAGAAAACAAAGATCTCTTTCCATTTGAAATTAGTTTCAGAATGAGCTACAGATCAAGCTGATGGATGACTTTTGCTTGGAGGCTGGCAATGCCTGGAAAGTTTGGGAAAAAATGATTTTGCAATACGTCCATTCTTATCCCTCAGGGAGAGTTTATGTGCAGTTAAATCTTCAGTTTAACTGTTTTTCCCCCTAAGATGGTGACAGGGTGTCTTGCCCTTTTGAGTTGTGAATGGATTTGAGGAGGACAGAGACAGAGATCTATTTCTCTGTAATATTTCCAGGTATTAAAGCTCCTGAGTCCTGACTCTGAATAGTCTAACTGTAGCTGGTAAATTAGGAGTAATAAATCAAACCAAATTCAGTAAAATGGTCATCTCATTATAAAGTGTTTTAATTCCAGGGAATAAATAGATCTTCTCTTTCTGGATGGAGTTATATTCTCCCAAAATGAGCAGATTCAAAATCTGGGTTACATCTTGATCTGGATCTCTCTCTGGTTTCTGGATTGAAGTGATCATGAGGAGAACTTTTTATTGGTTTTGGCTGATATACCAATTGTATTCTATCCTGAGGAAAAATTAATGTGCTCTGTGTGTGACAACCTATCTAGTCCAGAAGCTTAATTATTGCTTAATGTAACAACCAGGCTGGTGCCTGGAAAGACTTAAAGACAACATCCTACTGAAAGCAAGACACTAGCTGCCAATTTATTTTGGAGCACAAAATAAAATTTTGATTATCTCCTGCTTGTGCCCTAATTACAGGAAATATCTTCTTTTTATAGGAATATTTTGTGTATTAAGAAATCTGGGAAGGTTTACCTTCAGATGCCACAGAAATATGTGGAGGAGTTTCAGAACTGAATTGCCTGTGTAGCCAACCCTGATTTGTAGAATGTGCTCATTGTTGCAATGGGAGAATTTACTAGCAAAAATCTTTAACGTCATATTTTTTTCCCAGACAAAAAATGATTTTAATTTAACATATGTAGAGTTTTAAAAATATTTTATATTTCATATTTTATTATCAATTATAACTGTATAATTGATAAAATGTAATACTTAAAAAATCTGTGTTTTAGCAGAAGAAGACTCTTCCAGTGGTGATACTATAGATTTGCTGATTGAGGACCAACTTTTGCAACACAACTACCTGTCAAATGTTCCTTCAAGGAAACCACCACCTATGGAAGATCTGCTTTTACATGGTGATAGTCAACTCCCGAAGGGGCATGTTACAAGCACTGCACCCAGTGGAAAAGAAATGTCTGCGAGCATTAGCACAACAACAGAAGCACCACTGTCTTCCACAGACAGGGTGCTTCCTCTAGAATCAATCCCAGTCACTACCTCATCAGTTGTCTCTACTACCCAAGTCCCAGAGACCACATCAACAGCTGAATTTCCAGTAACCCCATGGACCTTGAAGACACTGTCTCAGATTGCCACTCAGGCCCCCACAATCACAACTACAGCAGAACAGGACACAGCTACTATGGGGGGCCCCATAATTAGCATGACCACAACAGATTTCCACATACAGATGACGCCTGAGCCTACCATGATCGAAACTGTGACCTCTCCAGCCTCTGTGAATCCTAGCCTTACTGTCACACCAAAATATAGCCTCGATGAGGAAGATATCAGAAACAGCATTGGTGAGTTTGTTTTCTTTTCCCTTCCCATTTATCTTATTTCATTACTAGTGATGTGGATACCATTAGAATGGGATAAAGAAAGCTCTTACTTTGGGCCAAATCAATAGAAGGGGACTAAATAAATTATAAGTAAAGCAGTGTTAAATTCTCTAATCATGAATAGATGATGTCAAGGACTGCAGAGAAGAATTCTTAGGTTAAAAAGCATGATGGGTAGAGACAGCATTGGAACAGAGCCTGATAGATCAGAGGAAGAATCTGCAGGGGGATTTGGTGTCCCAGGGACAGGGTTAAAGAGGGCTCTGTCATGATACAAGAACACAAGTGCTGCCCTGGAAGGTCAAAGGCTTTTCTCTTTAATACAGTATTGTTTCCATGAAATCTAAATAGTTGCCCTCTATTATGTTTGGGTCTCTGCTGATCTTAAATCACATTGTTGTGCTTTTTTATTTTAGTCTATGAAATGCAGACTTACACTAGAATTTTGTTTTTATTTTATCTTTGCAAGATAAAGTTTGTTTTCTAGACGAATGGATGAATGAATTGGGCACAGGTTGACGTAATCTAGAACTATCAGTTTTTTTCTGGCCTTTTATTCTATTCATCAAATCAGTGTGCCCGGCTGACTGCCTCAGGCTTCCAACAAGCAGGACTAGAGATTTTTCTGTGTATCGTGCTATAGTTCTTCTTATTTTGAGAATTGGGTGGACCTACTTATTTTTAAAATTTCCCTTACTGTGTGGCAAAACCACATATTATATGAGGAAAGCCAATTTTTTTGAATTGGCCAGAACCAAAATAAACATAAATTATCAAAAGGCAAAATGTCTGGTTCAAGACCCCTGTTGCTCACTGCCCTGTTGTTCTATTAGTCACTCCTAGAATTTGGTACTAGTAACTTGTGATGTCTCTACTTTAAAAGATTTAGAGTCTAGACATTGTCCTTGACTATCTTTTGTGCCATCATTGTTCTGTTTATTAATATATTCTTGCTTAGGCACTTAGCATAAAAATGTATTATTAATCAGTTCCCATACCTTTGGTATGCTTATTTATGGGGAGAAATAGTTACAGGTTGGGACTGCAAAGAAAAGATGGTAGGCTGTCTCTGCCCATCATTTCTCCTGAAATGTGTGCACCCAGTTTTCTCAGGATTGCTATCATCCTAGAGCTGGTTGGAGGGCAAGATGCTAGTACTTATGTGCTAGAGTCTGTGCTGCAGATAAGTGAATGTCACATCCTTGGTTGAAATCAGGTTATAAGGAACAGTTGGAATTTATTTATTTTATTTATTTGTCAACAAGTACAAGGAAACAAGTAACAGTATAGACATAGACATGTACACATGAAAAAAATTGGCACAAATAAAAGGATATAAATATGCAAAACATAGTCATAAACACATAGAATGATTACATATAAATGGGGACAATAGGACAGGGATGGTAGGCACGCTGGTGTGCTTATACACGCCCCCTTAGGGACCTCTTAAGAAACATGAAAGGTCCACAGTAGACAGTTTAAGGTAAAAGATATGGGGATTAGTGAGACTAACAACAGGATCAGGTAGAGTGTTCCAGACATTTACTACTCTATTGCAGAAGTCATATTTCCTTCAATCAAGATTAGAGCAAATTACATTGTGTTTGAATCTATGGATAGCCCTTGTGTTATTACGGTTGAAATTAAAGTATTGATTTACAGGTAGGACTTTTTGGTAAATAATCTTATGAACTAAGCATAGGTTGGAACATAGACGGCGTAGTTCGAGGCTATCCAGTCCTAAAATTTCAAGCCTGGTGGTATAGGGAATTTTATTTCGAGCAGAAGATTTGAGTACTCTTCTAGTAAAATATCTCTGGACCAGGGGTGAAATCTAAATTTTTTTGCTACCGGTTCTGTGGGCGGGGCTTAATTAGTGGGAGGGGCTTGGTGGTAAGGTGGAGGACGTTGGTCAGATGGGCATGGCCAAGTCAATGTCACTTCTTTGCCCTTTTTTAACCTACAAAACACAACACAACACAACTGGCTCACCCACAATATAAAAGCAGCTGTGCTAGACCCAAAATAGCCCCTGCAACAAGTAGGAACCTCACACAGCCACAAAAAGCCCAAAAAACCAACTTTCACACTTTACACACACACAACACAACACAACTTTCTCACCTACAATGTAAAAGCAGCTGTGCTAGACCCAAAATGGCCCCTGCAACAAGCAGGAACCTCACACAGCCACAAAAAGCCCAAAAAACCAACTTTCACACTTTACACACACAAAATTCCACATACAGTTTTGTGAGATTTTGTGTGTTTGTGTAGTTAGAGTGAAACACTACAGAAACACACTAAATCTCAGAAAGCTGCACAAATATTATTTTATTTTAATTTATTTTTATTTTTATATAAAAGCAGCTAAATTTAAAACTTCCTAAACTTTTAAGTCTAAAAAAAGAACAACTAAAAAAAACCCCAATTAACTATTTTTTAAAGCTCCCAAAGGGGAAAAAAACTTACCCAATAGAACAGATGTCTCCAACCTTGGTAACTTTAAGACTTGTAGACTTCAACTCCCAGAATTCCTCAGCCAGCTTTGCTTTTCTGGCTGAGGAATTCTGGGAGTTGAAGTCCACAACTCCCTGCCTGCTTGATTGCAGGCAGGGAGATTCAGTTGCTTGCTGATGCAATCGATTGCAGGGATTACAGCAAGGTATTGTGACCAGCAACTAAAGTAAGCAAGCTGAGGTGGGGAAGGGGAGGGATTTTTGCTACCGATTAGCAGGCAGAGCCATTTAAAAGGAAAAAAGTTTTTTTCTTTTACATGGCTCTGGCGATCCCAGCTGAGTTGCCTGATTAGCAGGCAACTCAGCTGGGATCCTCAGAGCTTGGCTGGTCAGAGCCATTTAAAAGGGAAAAAAAGGCTCTGATGATCACGCAGCTCAGCTGGGCATGGGGGGCGGGGGCAGGGATTTTTGCTACCGGTTCTCTGAACTGCCTGCCGCCATCACTACCTACTCGCCCGAGCCGGTCCGAACCGGGAGCATTTCACCCCTGCTCTGGACCCTCTCTAATGTATTGATGTCTGAGATACAGTGAGGATTCCAGGCAGGTGAACAGTATTCAGGTATAGGTCTGGCAAAGGTTTTATATGCCCTAGTTTGAAGTTTAGAGTTATCAGAGAGAAAACTTCGTAAAATGAGATTGACAACTCTTAATGTCTTTTTTGCAATGATGTTACAGTGAGCTCTGGGACTTAGATCTTTTGAAGTGAGTACTCCTAGGTCCTTGACAGAGTGTGGGTCAACTTTTAGATCATTTCCAGCCAGCAAATATTTGATGTTCTTATTTCTATTGCCAAAGTGCAGGTATGAGCATTTGTTAGCAGAGATTTGAAGTTGCCAATTGTTTGACCAATCAGATACATAGTTTAGGTCATTTTGAAGGGTAGTAGAGTTGTCTATGGTGTTGAATATTGCTGCTGATGTACTGCATTCCGTGCTGCCCAGCACTATCCTTGCCTAATCTACTTGATTTCATGGCAAGAGATCCTGAGATTGTTAATTCTTAGGGATTTCAACTGATCACCAAGCAACATTCAGTTTGGGGCAGATTATGGAATGGTAGAAAGAAGTAAAATGGCTTTTTTTTGTCATTGTATTGAATCCACTGATAGAGTCTGATAGCTCTATTTAAGGTAACTAATTCCTTGTGGGGGAAGGACAAAATACTGGAAATTTTGTACAGCACTGTAAGATATATTTAAGCTCTCTGGCAGATAAAATTTCACAAATCCACTCAGAGGTCACTATTATTTGGACAAGTGTAGCTGAAATGCTCAGAGCATAGTCTTGTGTTGAGTAAATTGGAGCCTGTGTTAGGGATTGGGTCTTTCAAACTATGAACTTGATTACCTGTCATCCAGGCTCCCCCTTAAATTGTTAAGGCTGCCTGGGGGAGGGGGGGAAGATCTGAGATTGGGTCCATATGGCTCATACGGTGATGAGTTTCTTTGAGAGACAGAGTGATTCCTTCAGCCATGAAAGAGGTGATTATTTGCTCCTCCTCAAGAAGTTATTGATGAACCCAACAACCCAAAAGTTGTTGATGTGATCAGGCAAGAGTCCTAGAGGATCCTGGAAGAATCAGATTATCTGATCTATATCAGTCAAGTTTCAAGCAGCATCATGCTTTTTTATGATCTTTGGCAGAGCTGGGATGGGAGTGATATGTTGTTCCTTGTGTTCCTTGATCCTCAGTGCTTTTGATACTATGAGTATCTTTCTGAACTGGCTGTGGTAATTGAGAGTAGAGTGATGCCATATTGCAGTGATTCTCCTCATTTTTCTGTGATTGTTCCAGCATATTTAGGGTGGATGGAATGTGATGGAATGTGATAGTGGGAAGTATGGTGTGCTCCTTTGTAAGATTAATACAGTTGTTTCATTGCTTTTTTATTGGTTTTGTTATGCCTAGGCTTATTGTGCATGATAGTAATCCATAAAAGTTCAATAAATAAATAAACATCTACATGAGATCATCTGTTGATTCACAGGATCATCAGTAATGCTGATGACATCCAATTATATATCTTGACTCTGCAAGATCCAAGTGATACTCTCTATGTGTCCCAATATCTAGAGGCCGTACAGATCTGCATGACTCTCAGGCTCAATCCTGACTGGACTGAGTAGCTGTGTATATTGGGGGTCTTTAGTCTTGGGGACTTTCCATCTTTTAAATTGGGTGGGTAGCATTTCCTCGGTCAAGTCTGATGCACTATCTGGTCTTGGACTTATAGGTTCTGCTCAAAGAGCAGATGGCGGCTGTGGCCTAGAGCGTCTCTGCAAAGAGCAAACTAGTGCATTACTTATACCCATTTCTGGATTGGGAGGCTGTTCAGAAGGCCACACAGACCCTAGTCATCTCATGAATGGATTATTGCAATGTATCCTACGTGGGGCTGCCATTAAGACCACTCAGAAACTACACTAGTAGCAGCACAGACGGTATTGGGCATGCCATGGTGTGCTCATATGGCACCAGTTGCTTCTGGATGCAATTCAAGGTTCTGGTTATCACCTATTGAGTTCCACATGGCATAGCCTGGTTATTCGAGATAACACTTAGGAAAATCAGGTAGACCAGAGAGCTCCCAGTCCCCTTGATTAAATAATGTCATATGTGGGTCTTAGAAAACAGCACTTACCTCTGGAAAGGATAGTGTCAGACATCTTGGAGTAAAGCAGTTGTTAAACCCCTACAGGATGCTTGGGTTTGAATGGTTTACTTCTGGGCAAATATGATCTTTTTATCTTTGTTCCTGTTGCATTTAAAGTGTCAGCCACCCAGAGTTGTTTACAGTTGAGCAGTCTGTACATTCTCTCCATCTCCCCCCCTCTTCTCCCCTCACTCTGTGTGTGTGTGTGTTAAGAAAAAGAGAGAGAAGCTACAACACCTTAAAGCCTTTACATATACATAGGAAGTGCTAAATATTCTTTGTTGTTTCAGGTCAATGCAAGGACACTTTGTCCACGATTACTGGGCCAGTAATTCAGAATACCTATGGGCGGAATGAAGGTGCTTGGATGAAGGATCCAGTTGCCAAAGATGAGCGAATCTATGTCACCAACTATTATTATGGCAATACCTTGATGGAATTCCGGAATCTGGACAGCTTCAGACAAGGTTTTATGTTTGCTCTCTATTACGGGGTGAATTGCTAGAGAAGATAACTGACAGAAGAGAAGAATTCTGGGTTGGGAGGTCAGGAGAGATTTGATACATCTCAAGAAAAGTTTAAATGGAAAATTGAAATCTTCCAAGCACAAACATTTAGAGAAAGGGCAGTTAAAGTGAGTTTGGGATCAAAAGTCTTAGAAATCTGTGAAATAAAAATTACATTGCAGGTAGTTTGTACACCAGCTAGGGCCTCCTCAGTTGGTGCTTTTTTTATGCTGCCACAGCTGGAGCCTTTTTTCATGGGCTTCGGCCTCTTTTGCAAAAAAAGAAAAAAGAGAAAGAGAAGACTCTAGCTGATGTACAGATGGCAGCCCTGGCTGGTGCACGAACAGGGCTGGGACAGCTGGCAGCATTGGGTAGGTAGGCAACAAAAAGGGCTAAGTTGGGGAGGGGTGAGATAGGGAGATAGGGAGAGTTCCAGAGGATGCAGTCCCTTATTTTACCCAGGCTCCGGAGTAGGAGGGACCAAACCCAGAATGGCTTGGCCCAGGGTGGGTCCTTGCCTAACTATCGGTGGGATTCAGTTAATGATGGCAATGGGGACTGCCAGGATTGCCATTGCTGAGTGATTTGGTCATGTGACATTGTGCCAGGGGTGAAATCTAAAATTTGTTACTACCGGTTCTGTGGGCGTGGCTTGGTGGGGGGGGTGTAATGTTACTGGGTGGGCGTGGCCAACTTTTTTTTTTTTACTTTTAAAAGCATTTTTTCTACAACCTTAAGAGGTTGCAAGAAAAAAATGCTTTTAGAAGCCTCTGATGATCCCAGCTGAGCCGCGCGATCATCAGAGGCTTTTTTCGGCTGAAGAGGTTGTAGAAAAAATGCTTTTAAAAGTAAAAAAAACAGCCTCTGATGATCGCGCGGCTCAGCTGGGCATGGGGGGGGGAGGGTGCAGGGATTTTTGCTACCAGTTCTCCGAACCACCTGCCGCCATCGCTACCGGATCAGGCGGTCCTGTCCGAACCAGGAGAATTTCACCCCTGCATTGTGCCTTATGACCACAGTACTTAGCAACAGAAATCCCTGTTCCCAATTACAGTCATTAACCAAAAACTACCTGTAGAGAATTAAGCCTAGAATGGTGTAGCAGGTATGTGCCAAATACAGCACTTCTGCATCAATCCAGTTTCTCCCTATAAACATACATAGAGGAGCTAAATGGATTTTCTATTAATGGACAAACTGTTTGAAATCTGTTACATTTTAATGCAAAATTTGTGGTGCTTTATCTTTCATTTTAAGTGCTTTAGATATGGTGGTGTCTTTATTTTTGGCAAGAGTCACGTAACCTATCCATGGCTATATATTAGAATATCTTGTTTGCCACAAGGCGGATATGCTTACTGTTAACAGATTTTAAAAAACTGAAAGCCTACAAATAGCAGATACACTGCAGATGTACAGAATACTAAAGAAAGAAATACTGAAACTTGAATGATAAAATCTACAGAAGAAAATGTGGGAGAATAAATTTCACATCTAGTTAGTACGTTCCAGATTAGGAGTTCAGTAACACATGAGTAAATCTCCAGATTTAATCTTTGACATCTGCCTGAAATCTTGAACAGCTGCCACTAAGCAGTGGGTAGAATGTCTCTGTTGGAATCTTCACAGGAAACATATGTGCAAGTAGGATTAGGATCAAGTGTGCTCTTTAAATTATTATACCATCTGTTTCCTAGGTCGATGGAGTAACTCGTACAAGTTGCCCTATAGTTGGATGGGAACAGGCCATGCCGTTTTTAATGGTTCTCTGTACTACAACCGAGCCTTCACCCGCAACCTCATTAAGTATGACCTAAAGCAGCGCTACGTGGCTGCCTGGGCCATGTTGCATGATGTAGCTTATGAAGAGGAGACCCCTTGGCGGTGGCGCGGCCATTCAGATGTAGATTTTGCTGTGGATGAAAATGGCCTATGGATCATTTATCCCGCCAGTAATTATGATAGCTTCAACCAAGAGGTGATTGTCCTCAGCAAACTCAATGCCATGGATCTGAGCACCCGTAAGGAGACCACCTGGCAGACAGGTCTGCGCAAAAACTTCTATGGCAACTCCTTTGTCATCTGCGGTGTCCTCTATGCTGTTGACAGCTACAACAAGAGAAATGCCAATATTTCATATGCATTTGACACGCACACCAATACCCAGATCATCCCTCGTCTGCTCTTTGAGAATGAGTATTCCTACACCACTCAGATAGACTACAACCCCAAGGATCGGCTCCTTTATGCTTGGGACAATGGCCACCAGGTTACTTACAACGTCATTTTTGCTTATTAAGGACACAAGGGAGTGATTTTAATGGGCCACAGCACCTTTTTATATAAACTTGTTTGCTTTTAATTCTATAAAATCAGAGTAAATGTGTGGGTTTAAACATTTTTAAAAAAAATAAAATTGGACTGTAGAACAGTCTATATACCGAATCAACCTTTTTATTTTGGGCATAACTTTTTTATATGGAACATACTGCCTATCCTGAGACAATGGGACCTATGTCTTCATTAACTCTGCCAAGGGCAGACACCCCAAAGGGGAAAACCACACGTCTTTTGCCTTTATTATTGTAATAGAAAACTTGGTTTGGATGAGAAAACCCTCTAAAGTTAACATTTTTTATAATAAAATATCAGTGTTGAAACTCAGTAAACCAGTGTCCTGTTCACATTTCTGCTTCTTACTACATGCTTCTCTTTTCTGCTGACTAGCTCCTACATGACTTGTTGGGTTCTTGCCTGAACTGCTGTAGCTTTTCACATTTTAGTTCAGACTGCAATCCTATGGTATTTTGGAGGCTCCAGGAGCCGTAATACTATAACCTTCACCATCTGCAGGCAGAGATCTGCTGCAGAAATCCTCCTTTGGCTGAGGACAGAAGGGTTTGCACTACTGTGGGTGCTCTGATCTACAGATGAGAAGCGCAAAGGGGAGGGGGGAGAAGGCTTTGAATCTGACAAAGTCAAGCCTCTTTCTGAAGGATGAAGGGAAAACCATGCCAGCCCTGGAGATGGGTCCCCATCCCCATCTGCCATGGTAGGCAGCTTAATTCATAGAAACCTAACCTAGATGATAGATGCAGATCCTTTAGCCCCCACACCGCCTTGCCTCACTGCTGGTGTAGTTGCTGGGTGTTGAATCCAGGTGGCAAAAAAACTGAACCAGCATGAAATGTGGACACTTCTGCCTCTAATTGTTTAAGATAGTGATAGATCGATTGTGACAAAAAATTAATTGAAGTTTTGGCAGCAAGAATGGATCTAGGAGGAAAATGCATATGGAAGAAAAGCAAGTGTAAATAACTGAATGAGTGCTTACTTAGTGTCATACTTAGCTTGGTATTGGTTGATTTCATTTTCGGAGTGTTATCCTATTGACAGATAAGGCAAATGGACAAATCCTGAGGCTCTTTGCATAATTTATTTCCAATGAGTCATTGGATAGAAGAAATGCAGACAAAAATGCTGTGGAAAAGCACATTTCACAGCATGATTGCTGCAAACAAATGAGGATGAGAGACAGCTATTTGAAATATATATAGAAAGAAAAAGCTGAAGAAGACAGACAAAAATTAAAAATGATTAAATTAAAAGAATCAAAAATAATGTAGAGTGATTTTGATGGAAACAAAAGAATTGGTTTGGAAATGGATGAAATAGATTAAGCAAACCATTGCCAACAGAGTGAATGGTATTAAAAATAAAAAAAATAAAAGTGATGAAATTGTCTGGGATGAAACTAAAATGAGGGAATGTGGAAAGGAGTATTTTAGAGGTTTGGGTGAGAATGTTAAAGACTGGGAATGAAGCAAATGCTAAAAAAAAAAAAACAATAAATCCAAGGATTGTTCATCTGCTACATGTAGCATCTTTTCCCAAAATCTTAACCAGTGCCCAATGAGTATGAAAGAATGGGCGAATGGGAATTGATTGTTGAAGCCTTCCTGCAAAATACCTTCCTAATAAGGACATTTTCAAGACACAATCCAGCCAGGGTAAAATGCTTCAGCAAGCATAACCTCAATCATCTCTTGGTCAACTGAATTTATGTCTAAGTAAGCACTCCTAGGATTACAGCTTTTATCAATAAAAACATATTTGTTGAAATTTTTTCCTGCTAGTACTTGGATGGATAGATGGATGGATGGATGGATGGATGGATGGATGGATGGATGGATAGATAGATAGATAGATGATAGAATTCTTTATTGGCCAAGTATGATTGGACACACAAGGAATTTGTCTTTGGTTAGCTTTTATATTATTAAAAGATTACCACAAGCATCCTGGAAAACAGCAAACATACCCAGGGAATTTGTTTGTGGGAAGCATATATTTAAAGGTATCTTTACATTTGGCAAGAACAGTCTTTCCCTGAATAAATAGACACAAAGGGGGAGCTGCAAATCATATGCCTCTGAAATGTGCTTTTATTATTTATTATTTATTTTATTTTAAATTTATATACCGCCCTTCTCCCTGAGGACTCAGGGCGGTGTACAGCCAGAATTAAAAAACATGAAATACAAATATTAAAAAAAAATTAAAATATATATAAATTTGGCCCAAAATTAAAAATACAAACCAATTAAAACATTTAAAATTTCTTCTTAAGCCAGCCTGGCTTGCTGGAAAAAGTGGGTTTTAAGGGCACGGCGGAAGGCACTAAGGTCTTGGATTCTCCTTATCTCTGGGGGCAACTGATTCCAGAGGATAGGTGCCCACACAGAGAAGGCCCTCCCCCTGGGGGTCACCAGCCTACATTGATTGGCTGATGGCACCCTGAGGAGGCCCTCTCTGTGGGAGCGCACGGGACGATGGGAGGTCGTCAGTAGCAGCAGGCGGTCTCAAAGATAGCTAGGCCCGATGCCATGGAGCGCTTTAAAGGTGATAACCAACACCTTGAAGCGCACCCGGAAGACCACTGGGAGCCAGTGCAGCTCACACAGAAGCGGTGTTACATGGGAGCGCCATGCTGCTCCCATCACTACCCGCGCTGCTGCATTCTGGACCAGTTGGAGCCGCCGGGTGCTCTTCAAGGGGAGCCCCATGTAGAGAGCGTTGCAGTAGTCAAGGCGAGAGGTGACGAGGGCATGAGTGACTGTGCAGAGGGAATCCCAATCAAGAAAGGGCCGCAATTGGCGAATCAGGCGAACCTGACAAAAGGTCCCCCTGGTTACAGCTGTCAGATGTTCCTCCAAGGACAGCTGCATATCCAGGAGGACTCCCAGATTGCGAGCCCTTTCTGTGGGGGCCAAAGACTCGCCCCCAATAGTCAGTGATGGAGTCAACTGACTATATCGGGATGCTGGGAGCCACAGCCACTCAGTCTTGGAAGGGTTGAGCTTGAGCCTGTTCCTCCCCATCCAGATCCGCACAGCCTCCAGGCACTGGGACATCACTTTAAGGGCATCATTGGGGTGGCCTGGGGTGGAGATGTACAGTTGGGTGTCATCAGCGTACTGGTGGTATCTCACCCGAAGCCACGGATGATGTCGCCCAGCGGCTTCACATAAATGTTGAACAGAAGGGGCGAGAGGACCGATCCCTGCAGCACTCCACAGATGAGAGGCCTCGAGGTCGACCTCTGCCCCCCTGCCAACACAAACTGCAACCGGTCGGAGAGAAAGGAGGAGAACCACCGCAACACGGTGCCTCCCACCCCCAACTCTTCCAGCCGGTGCAGCATGATACCATGGTCGATGGTATCAAAAGCCGCTGAGAGATCTAACAGGACCAGAACAGAGGAGCAACCCCTGTCCCGAGCCCTCCAGAGATCATCAACCAATGCGACCAATGCCGTTTCCGTGCTGTGCCCAGACCTGAAACCCGACTGGAACGGATCTAGATAAGATGTTTCCTCCAGGAATTGTGGGAACTGTCGCGTGACCACACTCTCAACAACCTTCGCCATGAAGCAAAGGTTGGAGACAGGACGGTAGTTGGCCAATATTGCCGGATCCAGGGATGGCTTCTTGAGGAGAGGCCTCACCACCGCCTCTTTCAAGGCAGCGGGGAAAGTGGCCCTCACTCAGCGAAGCGTTGATAACACCCTGGAGCCAGCCTCGTGTAACCTCCCGGGAAGCCAGTACCAACCAGGAGGGACACGGGTCCAGTAAACATGTGGCCGCACTAAGTCTCCCCAAAATCCTGTCCACATCATCGGGAGTCACAGCGTCAAACTCCTCCCAGATAACATTCTCAAGACTATTATGCTAAATAAACCTACAGTTAGGGAAGAGATAGAATGTGACTGCAAATTTGGGGGGGGGCACCCCCACCCCAGTGGATGAATTATTGACAATTTCAGCAATTTATCCTGCTCCAAAACAGCTCTGTCTGCCTTGGTTTCCTGGTCTGTGATGTCACATCTCTTTTGATTCCTTCCTCTGCCTGGTTCTTGTTTTAGCACTTGGCAATGAATGGGGGGCTGTCCATTAAGTGAAAGAAATTTCACCTTCCTGAGCTGGCAGCACATTCTCTCCAATGGTGATGAAGCCTGTTAGGATATGGTTTGAGCCTAACTATGTTGTCCAGGCAATATAAGTGTACTGTAACTTTAAGCTGTAACTATAGTATGTGACTTTAACACTGAGTCATGCTGTAATCACATAATTACTGGTTGTAAGAATATTTAAGCAAGGTACTGCAACGTGTTCAGTTGCTGCTATGATCTGAGAGGAAGCTGCAATGCTATGCTGCTGTTGATGATGAAGCTGTGATGACAAGCTACCATTGAGAGAAGTTGTTATCTGTAATTATCATTGGATGGATCTGCAACCATCGTGGTTTGTGAACCAGAGTGAGTTTGTTATTCTAACCAACTACTGTTTGTTGGGTAAGAAGATTCTGTAGCTACTGGACTGATTTACTGGCAAAGACTTGGAATTTGTTTAAGGACTATGAGACTGTTTTTCTACTATAAAGTAAGCTTTTGATAAACCAGTTTGCTTAACTCTTATTCATTGCTCTCAGCAACGTTTCTCTGTGCAATCTACTCTGCTGGTTGGTAACACAACAACAATAACCTTAACAAAGCCATTGAAACAAGGAGAAGCCCTACTGTGGGATGTGAATCTGTATCAGCCCCAGCCATGCTCTCTTTCAGCTGCAATGAGATCAAGCAGGGTCAATCACCCTGCTCATAACCAATGCTGTGTTTGGGTTTCAGAGTGTTTTTATTTCATATTTTGGGATGGCACTCTAGTTAATCTTTTGAAAGGCATGAATAATAGACTACAAAATGAAACTTCCGTGCAATCCCATTATATAATGACACAACAGGTGAAAAATACGTTTGTGCTTTGAACATTCTATCCATGATTGTTAGGAAGGCAATTTCTGATTTGCTGGGTAATGCTAAGACATCAGTGTTGGAGCTCTTTGCTCAATTGAGAACAGCAATAGTTTCCTCAAAGAGGGGTACCTTCAATCACGTACTATATTCTGCAAAATTGAGGATAATGCTTGGAGGACAGGAAAGGGAAAAAGGAGGAACAAGGAGGGGTAGTTGGTAGATGGGCTAAGAACTCTTCAGCCAAGAGATGGGGGAGGGGGCATTGAGAGATTGGGGCAGTTATAATACATATTTCTTGTTAGGGAACAAGGGGCCTGTCAGGGTGAATTGATTTCCCAGATTTCCCAATGATTAATACGGAATGATCCTCACCCCTGAGTTTTATATTTTTAACACTTTCACAAAGTTATCTGAGCACACTAACTCCCATTTATTTCTAAGTACGTTGTTTACTCATAATCCTGCCAATGTTCCATTAAACTGCACTTCTTAGTACTCTAGGCAGAACTACAGTATCCTATAAAGGGGAATTCAATTATATGCAAATATAAAAACAAATGGCACAGCTCTACATATATGTTTTATTTATCTTTTAGAAGAGAATGTAAACATATAGTAATTTTTTATTGTGATGTCCCAGTAGTATGATTTCAATTCCAGGTATCTTGTTTAAAGACCAGCAGCAAAAGACAATGCACTCACTCTTCCAACAGTAATTTCAGATAACAAAATGATTTCTTATTCAGATATTTCAAAGAAATAAGCACAATACTGAAACAAAGAAATAACTTAAAAGATAATTGCCAAAACCAAACGTTAAGTACAAACTTAACAACTGTTAAGAGTGTCCCTTAAATTAACTAAACGTACTTTACAGCATTACTCAAAGCACAGGTCCAACCTAATGTGCAAGACACCATTTTAACATTGTTTAAAGGTGTTACAGTCTGTAAAGAAAACACCCAAGAAATTTTAGGCTTTTGTGATATACCCATATACTTTCTCAGAGGAGGAAGGCTGTTTGTTTTTAATAAAGTGTTCTGCAAAGAGTTGTATTTCCAGCACAGCAATGAAAAAGCAACACTGGACATTTACTCAGCCAAAAGCAGTCGGCCAATTTTGGACAGGGGATATTGAAGAAATGCTGAGGTTGGCAGGAGAACAGCTCAAAACTGATTTCCACAGTTGGCCAGACTAGAGATGAACAAGGGCCCTCAAGAAGGGGAAGAGTTTTTCAAACAAGGAAGGATGCTTAAGGCAGAGAGAAAACTAAAAACAAACATAGGCCTGATTGACCCAAAGTCTTGAATTCTTTTTTCCCCATCCCATTGATTCGTCTTTTCAAAAGGTACACTTTCCCACCAGCAGATACTTATAAGTACTTTAGTCAAGATAACATATTTAGCAAAATTGGATCTGGGATACTTTGATATTCAAAACCACTGCTAGATTTTAGTTGGCAATAGCTTCATGGATCTACAACTTACTTTGACCGCAAAAGATTTTTATTATAACATTGCAACATATAAGATGCAGAAAAAAATTAGCTGAACTAAAAATGCTTTTCATCTGGCAAATTCTTAATGAACTTGAGTCAAATTAATCTGAAAACCAGGATAACTACCAAAATTCATCTTCAAGATACCAAAGAAAACTTCTAGTAAACTGCTCACTTATCTGTTCCCTACTGTTTTTTTAAAAGTGCACATTCAAACATCTTTTTGTTTATTTCCACAGCATCAAATTGCACATAGTATGGATGTCTATAGGGAACAGTTAACAGGGAAAAGTGTTCTCCGGATTGTGGCACAAAGGAACATCAGCATCCAAGTGAACAACGCCTTCTTTAATCAAATAACATTTACAAAACATTACTCAATTTCCAGTAAGGGCCAAATTTTCTCTAAAAAAACAAACAAACCAGAATTGTTTTGTCCCTCAAGACTGAACGCTCTGAGATCCTCAGCTCCATGTACAGTGCAACTTCTTGTGACAGAAGTTAATTTTTAACAAGCTATTCTCAAGGCAGGGTTATGCATTGTGCTTCCGATATAAATGTTCATAGCACTCTATAGAATAACTAATAAAAAATGATTCTTGCCTTGTGAGAAGCCTACTCTACACACACAAACAAGAAATGGGGCAGAGCAGATGGAAAATATGGGGTGAAGCTGATATAGCCTAATTCTGCTGCTAGTTTCTTTTCTTGTTCTGTAAGGATTTTAGTTTTATGCTATTCAATTATTTTGCTACTGTTTACAGTAGATTATTATCTTTGTTTAATTTTGTTAGATTTTGTCCAGGTCACTTTTGATGCTTCTGAAGAAAGACTTAAAAACATTTTGAAGTACATATCATTGACTTTACATTACTTATATCCAGCAGTTCATTTGTGTAAATAATAGCACAGAAAATAAATAAAGCCGATAGATTTCAAGGTTAAAGTATACACAGGTAATATTACAACTCCTACTCAATCTGTTATCCAGAAGAGATAATGTATCAATGATTCAACCCACAACACAACAGTTACAGATAAGAATTTTGCCCAACCCTTTTCAGGGAAGACTATTGCTGTACATCTCTTGCACTTTCATCTGTCGTTATATTGCTCATATGTGTACACTGCTCATACATTTCCATAAATACCTATGCAATGCCTGAAGTGGATTTTTGTGGAAGTTGTGATAATCTTTAATAAAGTAAGATTGCAGGATGTGGAAGTGGAATTTTGAAGGTTAAACAAGATCACACACATACAGAAGGGAAGAAAAGTAGATTTTGACTATACAATGGAGTAAGCCAATGGAGGTTTTCTTTCCTGAGAGGCACACAAAGCTTTGCTATGTTCTCCACTTATTTGAAACAGCCTTTTACATTCAGAGTATTTTCTCACTTCACAGATGCTTAGCCTAGTGCTCTTTCCTCCTCACTAGTCTTACCTTTGCTATGAAATCTGCCCTGAGGATATTTACATCTAAAGGAGGCTCAGATATTTGATAAGAAATAAATATCTTAGCTTATGCAGTACTATGCTCTAATTTGTATCCCCTGCAAAGATCTATGCATTGGGCAACACATCCTCCCTTATCCCAATCTCAAAGTATATCCCAATGTGGGTATTCTATATGCCCAATGTGGGCATGAACTATGTCAATGAAAGAGGTGGAGTGGAAAAGGCAGAGAACCTGTTCTCATTGATCTAGTGCTCTCAATATGAATGGGGGCCTTTCCACTAGAACGCACCCTTTTTTATCCTTCCCTGTTGCCAAACCAGAGGACCTAAATTATTCTTATGAGCAAATTCATGCAGGAAGCTCATGAAGATGCACATACATGAACATCGCTTCTTTCTGGAATATCAGGGTTTTGACTCTCTTCTACAGAACATGGGCCAATAGATAAGCACCACTTGCTCCAATTCTAGTACATTCACTTAAAGTAATAAGAGTGTTAGTATTCAAAACAAAGTTCTTCATTAATAATGTTGCAAGTCTCGGTCAATAGGTGCCCATGAAACTAGTTCAGATACACTGTGGGAGAATTTTAATTTCTATAATAGTACTAGAAACATTTCCCCAGTAACAATACTTTACAAATTTGCACATAGTTAAAGGGTGGTATCAACAAAACATCTGTATCTTATGTAACAAATTCAAAACAGCTGGACTGGGCATTTGTTGTATAATAAAGTACTGGAAAAAGCCAGTCTAGGATATAGTACTTTGTCTAGAGACTGAATAAAATAATGAAAAAGTACTGAAAATAGAAGTGCAACAAAGAATGGCTTAAACTCTAATTCGGTGAACAAGAGCCTGTAGTTCCTTATTTCCTTCCTCCTTTCCCACTGGTAAAAAGCAGCAGGAAAGAGAACCCAGAATAAGATTGAATAAAGAATGCAAAGTATAAATTCTATAGACAAACTGAAATTGAAAATAGAACAATACAAACAATTAGTGACAGACAACCTGTAATCCATATGTGGCTCCTACATTTTTTCTTCAGAAACTGGCAAGAAATTGATTTAATTTCTTATTTATTTCTAAGAAGGAAGGGGAAAGAAATGCCATTTAGTGTCCACCTCCCATCCCAGGATTTAGTTAACCCCACAGAAGCCTCACTTCCATCAATAACACTATTTTACCCATTGCAATTTTAGCATTTCTTTTAACAAAGTGAAGTTTTTAGACCCATAAATATTGTTTTATAAAGATGGCAGATAATCTAGACAGAGTGAGCGAGAAACTATTTTTTGGCTAGATCTAAAAGCAGATAGAATCCTGAGATCCAGAAACCTCAAGCTGTTGTCTAAGACAGGATACTGCCCCTGACACTGCCATGGCAAACCTACATGGGTTGCCTATCCCAGAGCACATATGAAAATCTCATTTGGAGAGTCTATTGGGGTGATTCAGTGATTGTTCTCACAGCAGGAGCTGCCTCTGGAACGGTTGGAGGAGAATGATAGAAGGACGTTGTGTGGTTCCTCTGCTGTTCTCGAAGGTAAGGTGGGATGGATGAGCTTTTGATATGCAGGATCCTGGTGTCCATTACTTCAGTATCTATCTGCATCATAACTTCATAGTCTTGCCCATTAATTATTTTCTCTACAAAAGGACAGAAGAAGGAAGAATTAATCAGAAATATATATCTTGTGGATATTAAAGGAAAAAACAATCCATGGTCAACATCACTATAGGATAGAGATACATATCAATCAATGACTTCACTGAAGCAATGGTGGCCGTAATTTATTTAGAAAAACGGCAGGCAGACAAAAGCAAGAAAATTATTTAAGATAAATAATAAACCTACTTCTAAAAGAAAAGTCAAAATACTTCAAAACATCCTGTTTATAATAAAGGCTTCACTCTTTCAGATTTAGTTATATTTTTATTTATCCTCTTTTGAAGAATGCTCAGCAAATGCTGATGGTGTAGGATCAATTCAAGCAGTATTTAAAAGCCTGAGAATGTTACAAATATTATTGTAATATGGTTTTAAGCAAAGTGTTTTTGAAAGCTTAATTTGCAAGGTTGAACACTTCTAATTTTTTAGTTGTTTAGATAATTTTATTGTTGTAACTTCTAATACTCCAATAACTATGGAAAAACTTTTGCCAGTTTATTCCATGGTTAAGCCGCAATAGTTCTCAATCTTTTCAGTTCCTTTTGGGATACCCTACTGCCATTTGGTATTATCAAGGTATAAGCAACATCTTTTTTCAGGTACTGTAATGTCTGGTGTATTGGGGTATAATTGAATTGAGAAGTCTCATAACATTTTACATGATCATTCTGAGTGACTTTATCAATGTTGTCAGCATACCTATACTTTGAGATCTCAAATTCATACCTTTTAGATACATTCCAATATATTATTTCTGCCATGCATTTTTTAATTTTATAATCTGACAGGACAATTTTGCTACATCTACTTATTGAATGGTTAACAGCGGGTTTTTTTTTTTTTTTTGTATGAACTATATTTGAAGTTGCTTCCAGTTTTTCAAGTTTCTGTTTTTCTTATTATTTTGCTAGTGCCTATTCTTGAGGTGCAAATATTAATCTTAGTGTTCGACTCGAGATGGATGCAATATGAAGCTATTGCTTTTTATTTCTTTTGACCATGCAAAAGCTTTATCTTTCTAATTTTTCATTCACTGTTTTCTGTTTTGATTTTTGCATGCTGCCCTTGATGCTGTCACAATCAAAATATTTTCTTTGAACACATTAATTATCATTTTTTCTTTGCCTGGGTTTAGGTAATCATTTAAATCTTTGCTCATTTCCACAACAATCACAACAAACCAATTTTCTTTGGTATAAATGCTACACTCTTTGGATGTAGCACATACTGTACTGTTGTAAGTTTTCAGGTCTTGCAATTCAAAGCATTTAATTTGGCTTGTGTTCAGTCTTACTGCTGGGCAGCATATTCCAGTGACAGCCTAGGTTTTGATTATATTAATACCATTCTGCTTCAATTTAAAACTTTTCTAATTTGTTTGATATATTGAGATATGTTTTTCTTTTTCATTTGAGTTTGCAAGGTATTATTTGCTTCTAAAATGCCCAAATATTTTAAATGTTCTTCCATTGTCAATGCTTTGATTTTAGTATCATTCCCATTTGGGCATTCAAATTTTTCCTTAACTTTTATTGTGGGTGCTATGCACTTATCCAATCTAAATTCCATGTTGATGTCATCACTAAATCATATTTAAAAAAAGTTGTATTTTCCTTCATTATTCCAAATCATTTCTGTGGTGCAAAAGTGATTTTTCCCCTTTTTGCTTGGATAAGTCCTACAGTAACCTGATGGCATTTCATTCAAAATGATCATCAGTGGAATCAGAGTGATATAAAAACAATGGAGACAAAAATTATCATCATAATATAGAATAACAGAATTAGGTTAATTGTTCTCACTGTCAGTAAATTTCTCCTTAATGCTAGATTGGATCTCTCCTTGATAAATTTCCATCCATTACTTCTTGTCCTGCCCTCAGGTGCTTTGGAGAATAAGATGACCCCTTCTTTACTATGACAACCCACCAAATATTATAGGGCTGTTATCATGTTACCCCTAGTCCTTCTCTCTGTTCGACTAGTTATAACCAATTCCTGCAACCTTTCATTGTATATTTTAGCCTCCAGACCCCTTGTCATCTTTGCTGCTCTTCTCTGCACTTTTTCTAGGGTCTCAACATCTTTTTTGTATTATGGTGACCAGAACTGGATGCAGTATTCCAAGTGTGGTCTTATCAAAGCAGTATAAAGTGGTACTAACGCTTCAGGTTAATAAAGAAGGACTTTGATCCCTCTTCTGATTGGCGGACTGCATTGGCTTTTTTGGCAGCATTAATGAGAGTCCTATTTCTAATTATACTTGCTCATCTAAACTCAACTGGCATCCATATTCAATTAAAGAGAAAGCATTTAAAATGTGTCCCTGCTTGATGATTTTCCCATAAGGATTTAGAAATGAAAGCTAAGGCTGGTTTTGTAATTCTCAATTTTATCCCTGTTTGGTGACCAACTAGTATTAAACAGCAGGACGTTCTTCCCTACAGTCTATACCAAAATGATGGAAACCATGCAATCTGGAATTTCCCCCCAAATGACCTCCAATGTCCTCATTCTTTTCTCCGTTGTGTTCCAGGATGATTACAAGAGTTAATATAGGCAAAGAAGATGAGTTTGAGTAAAAAGGGCAACAACATACTATTTTAAGAATAAAATTTTTATCATACAGGATAGTCTTTATTTGGGGTCATATTTATTTGGGTGAAATTATTACATTTAGGACTAGAAGTACATTTCTTCAAGGTCACAGTAGCTCCAGACTTCTGAAACACTGCCCACAGTCTATGAAAGTAATTTGTCCTTTTAGAACAACATCAGGGCTGCAAAACTTTATTTAAGGCACTTCTTAACATCTGTCGCATTTTGTCACCTCATACAGAACACTAATAGGTAGAACGTTACCTGCCTTTTGTTGCTTTTCTTTCCTTTTGGGGAAAGTGTGGTGCAAATGAAGGAAGTTTTACCAAAACTTCTCATTTAGTGGGGATTTATGGCTCAGGTTCAGCCAATTATTTGATAAAAAATTTACTTTGAGCCAGATGAATTTGTCTTATGTGAAAGACTGAAAACAGGAGCAGAAAACTGAACTCAAAAGAGAAGCTGCATCTTTTGGGAATGAAGACTTCACTTCTACCATGTACTTAACTTTTTTAAAGCTTTATCCATTTGCCTTCTAGAAAATAAGCATCAGCAATTGTTTATGCCTGTATATTGATTATTTTATGAATAGACAACCCCCCCACCCCCACCCCGGAAAAGTGCTTTAAAAATGCTCTCAACATTACAAACATATCCACCGCCTTAAGAGTTTGTAGATTCCAACCCATGATATACCGGTAACTTCAGAGTTTCATTTTAAACCTTGTGTTGTTTGTTACAAACATGAATCTATTAAAAAAGAGTCCAATGTTACCAATATGCAAATAACTCCACATTCTATTCTTAATTTTATCTGAAGTAGTTGTTCAAGTTTTAAATTGGTGGACGTTTTAAATTAATTTTAAATGAGAGGCTAAGAGCTTAATTCAAATGAATCGAGTTGTTTTTAATCATTCAAAACAAAGATGAGACAACAGTGATTTCACTTCTGTGAAATCTGATTTTTTTCCTCCTGGGACTTGTGGGCAGAGGAAGTTTTGTCCTGCCTCCGAGACCAACTTGCCTGGTGAGCAGAGCAACTGGGCCCAGCTGGAACACCCAAGGACCTAGTCTTAGTTACCAAAAGCCTCTTCTCTTTCATTCCTTCTTTCCCTGTCCTTCTCCCTATGCACCCAGATTAGGTACATGGCTGCCTCCTGGAAGATACAGGACTACTGGAAGGACCCTCAGCTTCAGATGACCAACATAGCAAGGCTCTCTCTTTTATAGCAATGGCACTGTGTTGGAAAAATGGTTGAAGCAGACTACTGGTTCCTCTGTTGCTAAATTACAGTATTTCTTTCAACTGTTGCTCTGTTGGTCAATGGCAATGGCACAAAAACCTCACACCTACATAGATGGCTAGGAAGAGTGAACTGAAAACTAGATTTTTGGAACTGTTCCTCTCTCCCTTCTCAAAACAGACCAGACTAGGACATATACCACTATGCCTTATATATTCCTGGATTCAGCCCTGAACTAGGTGGCCAAGATTGCTGGCAGTTACAAATGGTATGCCATTTTGGGAAGTATATAATACTGGATGTGATGATGAACCCTAACTCTAATCCTTGGTTGTATTCCATTTGACTATTGTAACATATTTACATAGGGCTGCCTTCACAAGCATTTAGAAATCTAAGATAATTCAGTTGAGGCCAGACAACAGAACATATTCCTTTCCAGGGAGCAGTTGACTCCTTAATCTGAGGAGCTTTGATGGTTATTTGGTGCATTTCTGAGCACAATGCAAGTTACTGTAAATTATCATATACAAAGTCCTAAACAATTTGCAATCAGAAGGCTCAAATTCTCCCAAATGAGCTTGGCCTTGAGCGAGGCCCCCTTTATCCCCCATAATCACAGGGAATATGAAAAGAAAAATAACAGGGGTGGTTTTTTTTTTTTTTTTATAAAATAGTTTTTATTGAATATAAATATTAAAAAAGACATACATAACATATACACAACAAACATTTATACAACATATACACAAAAAGAGTGTAATTTCTTCTTAAGCATTTTAAGCAGACCACAATCCACTATTTATAAATTGGAAAGGGGAAAGAAGACGTAAGAGATGGACAATGAACCAAAGATTATGTAAAGAAAAAGAATTTAATTTGATGTTAGAAAAGGAAGTAAAAATATTCTTCCAGATAAATAAAATAGAGGAAACCTCTTTACAAAACACATGGGATACTTTAAAAGCATATATAAGGGGCCTAGTAATAGCATATACGAGGAAAAAGAATAAAGAGAAGAAAAAACAATTAGATAATTTAGAGAAAGACCTAAAACAAATAGAACAAAAACTCCAGGAAAAGCCCCAGAACAAAACAATAAGAGAAGAATGGGAAATGATTAAGCATAAATTGAAT